CTATCTATCTATCTATCTATCTATCTATCTATCTATCTATCTATCTAACATCTATTTATCTATATCTCTGTCTGTCTGTCTGTCTGTCTGTCTCTTTCTCTCATCCATCCATCCATCCATCTATCTGATTGTTGGGGGCGATATGCTGACTCTGTAAACCGCTTAGAGAGGGCTTAAAGCCCCTTGAAGCGGTATATAAGTCTAACTGCTATTGCTATTAGCGATATAATTATTTTTAAGTCGAGAACTCCCTGTGCGTCTAACACTTGTCTTCCACCCTTCCCCGCTGGCCTACCGTGCAGGGGTCTTGTAAGAATCACAAGCCAGGAGTGTGCCAGAACTTACTTCCCCGCGGCGTAGACCTCGGCTGTGTCGAAAAGGTTGATGCCGTTGTCGTAAGCAAGAGTCATCAACTGCTCGGCTACCTACAAGACAAGACACGGATGAGATTCCGGGAAGGCAACCGGAACAAACCACGATTGCTGGTCTAGCCACTCGGGATGGTGAGGTTTGCGGGGGGGGGGGGGGGGCAGATCGCCCATTAAAACTTTAAAAAAAAACCCAAAACCAAATATGAAACGAAACAATAAAATAAAACGCAAAGCTGCAAAAACTACAAAACTATTAAAAATAAAAATAAAAACAAGCGATACAAATAAAGTATAAACGAACTGTGAAATGCAAACGGCAAAAAGACATCGAAGCTATAAAAAGTAAGCTGTGAGAAATGAATGGCAAAAAATAAAACCACAAAATACTCAAAAAGATATAAAAATAAAATAAAACAAATGATAGAAACATCAGATGGCTAAAAAAAAAACAGAATAAGGTATAAATGTCATTTTTATAAATAAAAAAAATACATACATACATACAAGAATAAAATACTAAAAGAGTAAACTGCAAAAACAGGATGAAGCAAACGATAGAATATCAATTAGCCTATAAAAATATCCCAAAAATAAAATAAGCTATAAAAATAACCTGTGGAAAAAAATGAACCATAAAAAAATAAAAAACAAACTAGGAAACATACAAAAAAAAATGAAATACAAACTATAACGTATTAAATAAACTGCCAAGAACAGGGGGGGCGGGTGGGGGGAGGGAAGCTATACAAATATATGACTTTTAAAAAAATGAATTAAATTAGAAAACATACAAAAATAAAACATTGAAAAGTTAAGGATAGAATCAAACAAATGGTAAAATATAAAGCAGACTGCAAGAAGTGTGCAAAAATGTGGAAATAAGGTATTGCAAAAAAACCAGAGATAAATGATAAAAAATTAAATAAACTTTTTTCCTGGATGTTGTCGAACCAAAGTGTGCATATTTTGTCTTATTTTTTTGTGGCCTGGGTTGGATTTCCAAGCTTTTTTCTCTTCTCTAAATGTGGAATCATCCCATACTTATATATTTATTAAATAGATTCAGCTGTCCGTCCAACTCACACACACTTAATTTGTGTCACGCTCAAAATTTTACAACCTTCTGCAAAACTGCCAGTTCTGATCCTTGGTAGGAGGAGAGGACAGAAGGTGTCAGAAGAGATTTAAAAAATAAATAAATCTATTTTGGTCCAGCTTTACGCCTGGGGGGGAAAAATGTCTAAAATCGAAACCAGGAAAATATATATATATATATATTTATTTCTTTACCTCATCGGTTATCTGTCCTCCAAACGTCACCCAAGTTCCTGCAGCAGGCAGAAATAATTACAATTAATATTGTTTTATTGAATTACTCTAACATTTCATTCTTTTAATATCCCTCAAAAAGGGATGGGATGGGATATAAGGGGAAAAGCAGAAGATCTAGGAAAACATTGCCTAGGGAGAGAGTACGGATAAGCCTTGACTTACGAGAGTTCATTTAGTGACGGTTGAAAGTTATGATGGGGAGAGAAACATTTTTGGGGGGGGGGTGTCAAAGATCAGGATTTTTTGGGGGGGGGAAACAGCAGCAAAGGGGACAGCACAGCTCTGGGGGGTGGATGATGGTTTATTTTGTTTAATGGGTTGGTGGTTTTTATTTTATTAATGTATTTTTTGTTATTCTAATATATTTATTTTAGGAGCTGTAAAAGACGTTTTTTGTGACATCGCATTTACAAATAAAAAATATTTTTATATATGCGTGTATTATAAACCTGCTTTATTGATAAATACATTTGTTTTAGGAGCTGTAAAACAGGCTTACGCAAGCGTGCAATTTATTTTTACTTATAAATATTTAATAGATTGTATAGGTACATTATCTATTGTAAATATATTTTATCTATAAATTTGGGGAGCTGTAAAACAAGATTTCGGTAGCACCCAGTTTATTTTTATTTATAAAGGTTTAATATATGGTGTATGTGTGTGTGTGTGTGTATCTATCTATCTATCTATCTATCTATCTATCTATCTATCTATCTATATCTTTCTATAACTATCTATCTATCATCTATATCTTTCTCTATCTATCTATCTATCTATCTATCATCTATCTATCTATCTAATCTCTCATCTATCTATCTATCTATCTATCTATCTATCTATCTATCTATCTATCTATCTATCTATCTATCGTATTGTGTATTGTAAATACATTTTATTAATAAATAAATGAACTTATTTTAGGAAATACAAAACAAGCTTTCATCCGATCGTTACGTGGCAGGGAATCCCAGTCGCCAGCCTTGCGCTCAGAGAATCCACCGGCAAGCCCAAATATTACAGTTCATCATAATATTGCAGACTAGAACAGCTGCACAATCCGGTGAGGTCATCTAGCCCAACCCCGCATCCCTTCGTAGGGGAATCTTAAAATCACAGCTAGAATCATAAAACCCAAGGGCTGGGGAGGAATCTCAAGAGATCATATAATTCCTGGCTGGGATCTAAATTCACACGTTATTATCCGAGTGGAAGGGACCCGGGAGGCCATCCAGTCCAACCCCCTGAAAGGCATTCAGCCTGGGTTAAATAAACAGCCCGGGGACCTAGTATGATTTCAAATGGTGTGTGTGTGTGTGTGTGTGTTTGTTTGTGTGTGTGTGTTTAAAGCAGTAGTGGAGAATTAAAATGTTGTGCCCAAGTTGTGTTCTTCGCAGACCCACAAAAACTCCCTCCCTCGCACCCAAAGCCGGAGACGGGAGGCGTTCACTCACCTAGACCGAGGCAGGAAACGCGCAATCCAGATTTCCCGAGGTTTCTGGAAAACACACACACACACAAACACACAACACATGTGAAAAAGAGGCTTCTTTGCTGTGCCCTGGTGCTGCTTGCAAGGTCTGTGAAACTCCCACCTGCACAAAAAAAGACACACACACACACACAGACCCACACAGCCTGTGCACAGGATGCCCTTGGCCAGGAGGAAAAAACACAATGCAGGTGGTATCCACGCTTCGTTTAAGGACCACTCCAAGTTCCAACAGCACCGGCTCATCACCACTCCTCACACTTACGACCGTCCCTTGCAACTACGACCGTCACAACATCCCCCCCCCCCGTGTGTGAGCAAAATCCGGGTATTTGGCACGCCCAGGTCGCCAACGACACAAGGCACCGTTCAACGTTACAGAAAAAGAGACTTATGGCCGTTTCCCCACACCTACGACCGTGGCCACGTGATCAAAATCCAGACCCTCGGCAACTGACTTGTATTTGCGACGGTCGCAGCGTCCCGGGGGGGTCATACAACCTCCTGGCGATTCACTTAACCACGGTGGCAAGAAAGGTCGCAAAGCTCATTTAAAAACCGTCTCGCTTAGCGACAGAAATTCGGGGCTCCCTTTGGTCGTGGGTTCGAGGACGGGGGGGTGTCTCGGGGGAAGCCCCTCCTACCTGTACTTCATGCCTGCCTCTTTCGTGGCGGTGGGGCTGGTGGGGGACGCGCTCTGCGTGGACACCTGGCCGAAGCTCTGAGCCACCATAGCCACGGCCCGAAATCGTCCCCGTGGCCCGGGGCTCCCCGCATTTTGCCGGCCGAGTCGGTCCTCGGTGGCCCGGCTTTTGACGTTGTGCTCCGAGCAGGCGAAAGAGACTTGCATGCCGGCCACCCAGCAGGCTCCCCCTCGGATACGGAAGGGCAGAAAATTCCTTCCCGGGTGGGACGAGCAGCGGGAGGTTCCTCCGGTCAACGGGGGGAGCCCCCTGCAGCCATCGCCCCGAGTCCTCTAGTCCTGGCCCAAGGGGGGGGCGAGGAACTCCAGAAGAGGGGGGGGGCACAGGGTGGCCCAGAGAGAGAGGTGGGGGGGAGGCAGTTTCAGGGTGCTGGTGCGAATGGCGGCTGGCTGGATGCGTCTCGCCCGCAAGGCAGCTGGCGAAAGGAGGCTTGTCCAAGGCAGGAGCCCTCTGCCACGCACGGCTGCTCCTTCCCTCCCTTCGCGGAGCCCGGAGAGACGGCAAGCCTCGTGCACACACACACAAGCACACACACACACACACAGAGACACAAGCTGCCCTTTCACTCCAGCCTGGTCTGTTTCCTCTTCCCGCTGCTTCCTCCCCACGGAAGAAGGGAAACTGCCGATCAAGAGAGGCAGCAGACTCTGCTTTCCCTCCCTCCCTCCTTTTATTCCTCCTCTCCTCCCTTCTTCCTTCTCCTCCAGTCTTCTTCCTTTCCTCCTCTTGCCTGCCTCCCCCTTTCCTCATCTCCTTTCTTTCTCCTTTTCCCCCTTCCTTTCTTCATCTTTCTCCTCTTCTTCCCCTTCCTCCTTCTCACCTTCCTCCCCCTTACCTCTTCATCTCCTCCTCCTTTCTCCTTCTAATCTTCCTCCTCCTTTCCTCTTCATCTCCTCCTCTTTATCCCTTTCCTCTTCTTCTTCCTGTCCTCTTTGTCTCCTCCTGTTTCTCCTCTCTTCGTCCCCTTCCTCTTTCTTTCTCTTCTTCCCCTTCCTCCTTCTCACCTTCCTCCCCCTTACCTCTTCATCTCCTCCTCCTTTCTCCTTCTAATCTTCCTCCTCCTTTCCTCTTCATCTCCTCCTCTTTATCCCTTTCCTCTTCTTCTTCCTGTCCTCTTTGTCTCCTCCTGTTTCTCCTCTCTTCGTCCCCTTCCTCTTTCTTTCTCTCTCTCTTCCCCTTCCTCCTTCTCACCTTCCTCCCCCTTACCTCTTCATCTCCTCCTCCTTTCTCCTTCTAATCTTCCTCCTCCTTTCCTCTTCATCTCCTCCTCTTTATCCCCTTCCTCTTCTTCCTCCTGTCCTCCCCTCTTCTTCCTTGTCTTCCTCTTCTTTCTCCTGTCTTCCTCCTCCTTTCCTCTTCATCTCCTCCTCTTTATCCCCTTCCTCTTCTTCCTCCTGTCCTCCCCTCTTCTTCCTTGTCTTCCTCTTCTTTCTCCTGTCTTCCTCCTCCTTTCCTCTTCGTCTCCTCTTCTTTTCCTTCCTCTTTTTCCTCGTTTCTTCTTCGTCTCCTCCTGTTTCTCCTCTCTTCTTCCCATTCCTCTTCTTCCTCCTGTCCTCCCCTCTTCTTCCTTGTCTTCCTCT